AGTACTAAACTATAGAAAAATCTTAAGGTAGCTCTAAAGTAGAGTTAGTTATAGTGCTAACTTATATATATTTTATAGTATTATTATTCTTATCTCTTTATTTATAGTTTATAGTAAAGAATAGATATATAAGCTTAGAGTCTAAGATAATAAAGAAAACTAACTTAGTTCTATCTTTAGACTAAATCTAATATTACACTTTACTAAACGTGTTATATTATATTCTAATATATAATACTATATACTATAGTTCTCTAGGTATAGCTAAGTATATAAGGTTTATAATAATATAGAAGGTAGTATAAATAACTATAGTACTAATACATATAGAGATATTAAATATAGTACTAATAAATAGCTTATAGCTACTATTAGTAGAGATAACTTTTTATAGTAGGTTACTAAGCTTCTATATTTAGAGTTTATATAGTATCTTTAGCGCACACGCTACACTAAGATAAAGAATATTTATCTACACGCCTATATTAATAAGGTATTTAATAGAATTACTATAAATATAAACTTAGGTCTCTAGTAGGTCTATTTATATAAACGCGTGTTTAGCGCGTTACTATACTTTATATATAGCTTTAGTAGATATATAGTTAAAAGTATTACTCTATAAGTTACTATAACTAGTAACTTTATATTAAGTTTATATATTTAAGTAGTATATATTAATAGTATTATAAGAGGTATTAGTATTATATTAATATAACTATATAGTTAGTAGAGGTTATAATAAGTATTTATAGAAGGCGTAATAGTAAAGCGTAGAAGCGTAGAAGAGTATATAGATTTTAGATAAAAATAGAGCCTATCTAAAATCTATACTATAGCTAGCCTTAAAGCTATTTACTATTCTAATACTATTTATACTAATACTATTCTTCTTTAGAAGATTACGTAATTAATTAGTAATATTATTCTAACTAATTAGGTTAGAAACTATTACTTCTTATACTTTCTAACTTAGAAGCGCTATTATAATATAATTAGGTTATTCTTTAATAAGCTTCTTAAGTTCTAGATTAGAAAGTGTGTCTAAGAACTTAACTACCTTCTTCTTATAGCCTTATAATAAATATCTAGAATTAGCTAATATACTATTATTAATATAGATATTAGTAGATAGATATATAACTATAAATAGTGTATTAGAAGCTTATAGAAGAAATAGCTATTCTTACTAACTATTCTCTAGTATTATAGTAGTATCTAATATCTATAAGTTAGAAATCTATCTAATTATATTCTTCTTAAGTAATAGCTAAGAGCTTTATAATTACTTAGAGAGTCTACTTCTTTTCTTAATATAGCTATTACAAACTTAATTAAAGTTACTAAGAATACTCTTATTTAGGTATCTAATAGTATTACCTTTAGCGCTATAAAGAAAAGTAGTATTCTTACTACTTATAATAATACTATTAGAATTAATATTATTAAGTAGCTAAGTCTTCTTAGAGTACTTAATATCTTTCTAAAACTAGATAAACTACTATTAAGTATTCTTATAACTAACGTAATAGTCTAAGTAAGTAATTATATTAGCTAAGTTTAATTACTTAAGAATATACTTAGAGTAAAAGTCTCTCTTAAACTTCTTAGAAAGAATACTAGATATAAACTATTTTATTATATTATTAGTAATATTAAAATACTTCTTAATCTTAGACCTAAGCTATTTAAGCTTATAAGTTAATAAAAAAGCACTAGAGATTTAGTTAAGGTAATTATAGAGTAGGCTAAAATAGTACGTTTCTTACTTACACTTACTATTCTAATAGTAACTAATCTAACTTAGATTATAGAAGTTATTATAGAGTTTATAATTAGTAATCTTATAACTTTTCTTATTATATATATAGTAAGTATTAGTATACTTAGTCTTTTTATACTAAATAGTTCTTCTCTTAGAAGCTATATTTCTAGGTACTTTAGTAATAAAAGAACTATTATTTCTCTTAATAGAGAGCTCTTTTTTAGTTATATAGTTTATAAAGTATAAAGTATTATAAAGGTTTTTAAAGATTAGAGTAACTAATAAGTAGACTATAAAGAAATAAACTATATTTATATTAAGCTTTAGTCTATTTAGTAAAGTTATAAGTTATTCTACCTTAGAATCTATATTAAAAAAAAGTAAAGATTCTTACTTCTTCTATTACTTCTTAAGATTAGTAATAATACTTTTTACCTTCTCTAGGTTAAAAGTAGCGCGCTTATTAGTAAGTATAATATATTTTATTTTAGTATCTATACTACTATATTTCTAGGTATATATATTATTAATAGTGTTATTCTTTTTATAGTATTTCTTAAGAAAAGTATAAATCTTATCTATATAGTACTTAGCCTAATTATTACTTTTAGAAGTATTAAGTATTATAAAAGTAACTATTTACTTATTATACTTTAGAAGTTTATAGTAGAAAAGAAAGCTAAGTTTTTTTTATAGAACTTACTTATTAGTAATATAAGCTTCTACTATTACGTAAAAGTAAGTATAATACTTAGTAAGACTAAGTAGATTATTTATATACTTATAAATAAAAGCTTATAAGTATAAGCGCTTATCTATCTTAATAGCTATATTCTTATTTATTTAGTATTTTTTTATATTTACCTTAAGCTTAGCCTAGTTCTTCTTCTTATAACTAGTAAAGAGCTTAATAATATAAGTAATAGAGTAATTCTTATTACTAATATAATCTAGAAGAATAGAGACTCTTATCTTATTAGAGAGACCTCTATTATTAGCTTATTAGTTATAGTTTTTAAGAAACTTAGTAACGTTATTACTAGTAAAAACTAAAGTAGTATATCTAGAGTAAACTATAAAGACTATACTATTAGTTACTATTATAAATAATAATATACTCTCTACTTTAGAGATAGTTCTAGAGGTTAGTATTTTTAGTATTAAAGTAGTTAAAGAAGTAGTAAATAAATACTTAAAAAAGAGAATTACTAGATCTCTTAATATCTTACGCTTTTTCTATTTCTTTAGTAGTTATTATAGTTCTAAATAACTTATAAAGAAGCTAATACTTCTTTACTTAATAGCTTAAATACTAAATAGATATTATTCTCTTAAGATTATATAATTAAAAGATAAGTTCTTAATACTTAATAGTGTTTAATACTCTTTACTTAATAGTAGAGAATACTTTCTAAATACCTTTATAGTTAGTATAGCTTAGCGTTTTACTTACTATAATACTTTATTAAGTTATTAGTTTTATTAAACTATAGTTCTACACTAGTATATATTCTAAATATACTATTATAGTATTATATTAATCTAGCTAGCCTAGTATTTTATTATACTTCTAATACTACTATTCTAAGTATTAGTTAAATTACTATTTTCTAGTATTTCTAAGTAGTTACTTTATCTACGCAATTATCTTATCTAATATTACTTAGTAGTAAGAACGTAGTTAGCCTAAATACAACTACTATTATAGTTCTAGCTAACTTAAAGAAAAGAGCTAAGTCTATACTTATTATATTTATTATAGTTATTATTACTATATATATTATATTAACGTATACTAACTACTTTTTATACTATATAGTAAAATATATTTTTATAAACTTTACTATTTATATAAGTATTAGAAAGTATAAAAATATATTACTATAAGAACGTAAAGTAATTAGTATAAGTAAGAAAGTATATAAATATTAGTTTAGTAGAAAAGAGTTCTATTATAAAGAGATTCTATTATCTAAAGTATTATACTAAAGTCTAATACTAATAAGTATAAGTAAAAGATAAGGTAGTAGATAATCTTATAATTCTAATTTATATAAGAATACCTTATACACTAGTATAGTATTAATACTATCTTAGAACTACCTAAATAAGAGTACTAAATCTATACTATAGTGTATTAAATATAGAACCTAATAATTATATTAGTTACTATATCTTAGATTTAGAATACAACTTATCTACTTTAGTTAATTCTTCTATATACTATAACTATTTAACTAAAGTAGGTATCTCTTCTAATATATTATATACTATAGAACTTTCTCTAAAACTTAGTCTTCTAAGTACTATTAAGTTACTATGCCTTTATAGAAAATTTTAGTTAGAGACTATAAAGCAAGATAAATTGCAAGGTTAGAACAATTAGTAGCTTGTTAATCTCTATAGTTTAGGTAAGAGCTCTATCTTTGTATCTAAAGTTAGCTGCTAAACGGCACACGGACCTACCTACAAATACGCTGGTTTAGATTTGTTAATTCTACAGGCGACATGCGTCTCTGTGTAATGGGGAGAAGTTCCTTCACATTTAATTTTACGAACGCGAGATACTATTTTCCTCTCCTTCGCCCTGCCAAGATGATGACACGCTGCACTCCCCTGATTCAGTCCGCCGAATCGAAGGCGGCGGTGAGCCCCAGACCCCGTCGCACGCAAAGCCGCACAACCCACAATGACCAAACTTGAACTCGAGCAACTGCACTGGGACGTTCGGCAACGCGCGGATCATCAGGAAAGAAGCGTGTTAATGGCGGGTGTTGTTACACTGGAGCCCACGGTGCTCGGAGGGCAGTATGTCCCATACGGACTTTCAACAGCGACAGCGCAGTGGTCGAAAATATCCACTTCGTTCTCGCGTCTAAGCAGTCTCAAGATCTGTTGATCCTAAAGCAGGAACGTAGTCACCCTAAGACGATGCAATGCGAGGCTGGCAGATACAGGCTTCCATGACTCATGTTGACAAGAAGTAGAATGGGTGACTACATAACTGCTGTGTTGAACAGAGACGCTCTCATAAAATTAGCCAGAGGTCCTCCATGCCACATGGATACGTGGTCTCTAAGCTCTTTTACATTTCACCACGCCCTTTGAAAGATCTCCGATACAATACTTAGCGTCGCCTGAGAGCTAAGCAGTGAGCTTCACTGCTCTCTTCTTCTTCGGCGATCCATTCCCGGCGTCGCATGAGTTCCTGTTCGTGTGGCCAGGATTGCAATACCAATGCCAGTTGTCATCCTCATAATTGATCGTTCCGTAATCGTCCCAGAATCCGCCAAGCTGGTTGGTATGTTGGTACGGAAGCTGATCGCAGTGACCACCAGCAATGATTGCAGTGCCACCTACGGTGTTGCTGGCTTTGGAGAGGGCTTCTGCTTCAGTATTGCCCTTACCGACTTGGCAATACGGGGAACTAAATATCGCAGTGCCGACAGCTGAGCCGTAATCCATGTTTACGGCAGCTAGCCAGAGGGCTTGGGTACCAGTCGTGGCGTAGATGGCTAGGAGGAGTGATTTGACCATGTTGGGTATGCTAGGATAGGTATCAGTACATATTGATCCCAGGCTGTCCTTTTGACTCACTTGAACAAGGCACTCGGATATGCGACAGCGATGGAGGGTAGTGGAACAACCGTATCGAATGTTGAGGACTTTGATAAGCTTGGGGACAGAGACTTAGTGGGCTTATATATGCTTTTGCATCGCCTTCTAACAGTTGTCTTACAGATATACGAGATCCCGGCAAAGGACCGATTGCATCCTGCTTCTTACGCCTCGCGTCTGATGATGCTCCATCGTAATGTTTGGTCCGATCAACTGCTCAAGCACCAGAGCAGCTCTTGTTCTCTGCCACATCAATGGGCGTCAAGCGGCCCGGTGTCACTGCCTGCATACGTTGCCTGTACACAGCCTCGTGCTGAGTTCGTTGACCGCCACTATTATACTATGACATCGCACTGTTATACCATGGCCCAAAGCGTGCAACTTAGACATGACGCGTCAGTCATGAGCCTAAGTACGTCCGTGCAGCTGTCATGGACTGGCCTGTCAGATATTAGAGCAGCTTATCCGACTGTATCCCTAAAATAGGCTGATATGATAACATTGCCTCTTGCACGACCATGACTGCCCCGGTTTTGCGGACGCTGATGTCGCAGCGGTCTTTCATCATCATGTCATTATGTGAACAAGTGGAAGCACGTAGCTTTCTTAATTCCATTGCAATTCGACCTTCTCACTTCGATTGAATTCATGAAAGTGCCATAGACGACAGCCGCTAAAGAGATGAAGAGTTTTATCTGTCACCGCCCTCGTATTTTCAATATTCACTATACACTGATACTTGCTTGAAAGGGCAGCACACTGTGTCGGTCCGGCGTACTCATATCTAGTTCATAGATCTAATGAACCCTAAGGGTTACCGCTTTTCATGTCACACCGATCATCTGCGCTAGATCCAAGAGGCGAGTTTGGTTTTGATCACCTCAGACTTTCAGGCAGATAATGCGTTCGTGTGTATTCGCATGTTTCTACCAAGAAACATTAGAGGCTTCTGATGCTAAGCTTTTCGGTGTCCTTCGCAGATATTCATGAGCTCAGCGACATCTCCATAGCATGCAGCCGTCTTTCTTCGCACGTAGATTGTGGCTGTAGTAGCAAGCTCCTCATGTTTCATCAGGAATGAAGTCACCCAATCGAAGTTGCTCGTATTCTCGAACTCGGGTCTTGTTGATCACGATCTCGGAGCGTCCGACTACTAACGTCCGGTTCGGCCCGATTTGGACAAGTGAAGGTTTGATCTACTGCAAGAAGCCGCGTGAGGCACGCTTCAACCCACAATTTTGCAGCCATGCCTCGGCACATGTGTATACGTAATGTGTTGGCAAGAAAATTATGGAAGATCGTTTATTCCTTGTGGTGATCTAACAGAAGGTTGAACCATGTACGGCATGCACTTCTAGCGCATGAATTCGGTGTCGGGGCTTCAAATAGCCCCGGCTAGGCCCAGGAAGGAAAACAGATGCGTCTCGATTGTTTGATCGTCATTGCCGCTGTATGTTTGGATGCCACTGTAGGCAAATACACAGGACGCCTAGTCTAACATCCGTTCTATCGATTTCCCGCTAGCACGGACTCTTCATTCCGTTATGAATCGAGTTAGGCTGCAGTTGCAGGACTACTATGCAGTGACCTCTGATGTTCAAGCTTCAGCTTAAGCCTCGTGTAGCTTAGTGCACCTCATATGCTCAGTTAGTGCCTACATCGATCGAGCACCAGGAGAAGGTACAGAGTATCGAGGTCACTGCGGGAATAGTCACGTCGACGTCTGCGTTGTATAAAGACAGGCTGGAGCGCTGCAGACAGAATCATCAACATTCACAAGCTTCAACAAACAGTTCCAAGCGAATCCAACATGCCATCACCTGCTTATCCCATCGCTCTTGCGGCTCTCATTGGGTCCGCGCTCGCAGACATCCACAATGTCAATCTTCCCTCGAACTTCTTCGATGGTCCACAGAGCGGTATTGGATCATGGTACCGTGCCTCTGCCGGCCAAGACTCGACAAACGGCAAGAGTTGGTGTGCGTACACGTACTATAACAGCGATCCTGTCTTTGCTGTGGTAGGTAACAACCCTTTTCAAGATCTCTGGAATTGTCACTAACGAGAACGATGCTCAGTCCCTAAAAGCGATGGGCGGCAAGACCTACAATTCGGACCCAGCGGGTTGGAAGGCAGCAACGCAAAAGTACTGTGGTCTCGAGGCGACTGTTAAGGATCCCAAAACTGGCAAGCAAATGCTTATGTACATTGGCGACGCATTTGATGATAAATATGTCCTTGTAAGTAATCTCCTCGAGTACTATTTCGCAAGATCACTTAGTAACACGGTTCATCAGTCGCCGGGGTCTATCGACATCATGATCGACGCCTTCTCGAACATCCACGGGAACCCCAACGGTAACAAGAACGACGTCATCAAGGGTGTGGAGTGGCAGCTTACAGGACGCGTCAACACGAAGTATGCTGCGGATGGCGCCGTATGGCCAACAAAAGCTGGAGCAGCACCAACGACTCCTGCTCCTACAAAGATGCAGACTTCTGCTTCACCAAAACCGTCTGCCTCTCCACCTGGTGGTGGCGAAGGTGCGAAGTGCAGTGACTCGACGAACTGTAATTCTGGCATGACATGCTTAGCACCTGATGGTGTCTGCAGCACAGCCGCTTGTAATTGGGGGTTAGATCCTCCTTCCTTTGGCTTTTGAGACTTACTAACCAAAATTTTCAGATGTACCGGATGGACCTGTAGTGCTTCGTCGCCGTGCCAGAAACCAAACACGTGTGTAAACGGCGCCTGCGCAGCTCCGACCACCGGCGCCGTAGGTGCGAAATGCAGTAATACGACAGATTGCAACTCTGGCTTGACATGTTTGAGCCCCGATGGCGTTTGCAGCAGCGCGCAGTGCAACTGGGGGTGAGCGATCTTTACGTGTGCGACGAGTCGTGGAAAACTAACTTGGATCTACAGATGCACTGGATGGACCTGTGATGCCTCGACGCCATGTCAGAAGCCGAACACTTGCGTAAGCGGCAGCTGCGCCGCAGCTTGAACGATGCTCATAACGTGATCTGGCCCACCTGGACGAACTTCGTACGATCAGGGCTGCTATATGGAGGTACCCTGCATGAATGGACATGGTCCTTTTGGAATATTGCAGAGATGGGAAGACATGGTAGAGTTGAAATAGTGGTACGTCTGGCCATTGTTTGCGGGTTGCTATTCCATTGAGAGATGCATTGAGGACATACGAATACTTAGATACATATGGAATACTACTGCCATATCTCGTTCACGACAACATGCATAGACACTCACCGCATCTTAAGCATCACGATATAAATACACATCAAATTTACCTTGAAAGGGTCTCGACTTTAGAATGTCCGAATGGGGAAGGTCGGAGATGCAGGTCCGTCTACACGACCAATTAGGTGTAGCGAGCTTCAGGAACCGAGGACGGGGAGACCCACTCACGGCCCGTTCACGAAAGGATTTTTGTAAGGCGTACCGTTTATCTGGGGCATGCTCGTATAGCTCCCTGGTGCCTAGAGGTGTTTTTCCGTGCAGCTGTAGAAATAAGACAGTTCGCCCCGTGCGCATTTTAACACACCTCAGTCACAACAACCTAAATCAATTGACTATGCGTTTCTCCTTCCTCGCGCTTGCGCTCGCCGGCTCGGCCGCCGTGACAGTCGCAGAGAGCGAATACGACCGCCCCGATCTTGCGGACACATACTGGGACGTGAGCATTTCTACACAGTCCGGTCGCCCAGGCTACAGCATCCGCGACTTCAACGCTACTTTCCATTCATCAATCACCAATGTCATTGAGGGAAAGTGTCACTACAGCTTCGTGCCACAAGGAACCAGTGCGCCTGCCGAGACGGATGTGTGTAGCACGGGATTGAAGTATGAATGGGACTGTAAGTCATCTTGATTATTCTATCTGCCGGACATCCACGTCTGCGAAGCTCAGTGCAAGAGGCTAATTTTGGTGCGATAGACACGAACGTTACGTTCCTGGAGCAAACGCTCGTTATGGGTAACGACAATTTTTGGATTTACGGACTGTCAAACAAGATAGAGACAACTCGCAGGAGCGATGGCATGAGCAGCACGACCAAGGGTAATGGCAAGGTGGATATCAGCCATTATTGTATCAAACCCGGATCGGGGACCTACAGTGGATGTGGATACGCTAACGGCTGCGTATCCACGAAATGCAACAACGAGAAGACAGGTGCTGCTTAGGCACAGGCTAAACGACCTAAGTTAGCAAAGAAAGTATTGTTTCTGTAGAAGTAGTTTTTCGTTGTAGAGCATAAAAGATTTAATATAGACTAACCTCTAAGCGACTATATAGAATTCTACTACGTTTTAAAATTAGCGTAGGTTCTATACCTCTATTCTTACCTCTCTTTTCTCTTCTTGCTGTAACACTCTCTACTCTATTTTTGCCTCTTCTACCTTCTCTACTATCTTTCTACTATCTTACTACGTGCTATAAAGCTCTCTACGCTCTCTTCTATAATATTAATACCTATTATCTATCTCTAAGTTTATTAGGTTTATAACTTTTACTATTAAATTCTATTAAATATAGTCTATGTATCTATAAATTTTAGTACTAGCCTTATAGCTTAAGCTAACTCTAGAAGCTTACTTAATAGCTTAAGCTAACTCTAACTAATATAAGATAATAGGCTATATATAATCTACACTTAATTAGATATTATATTAGAGTTTGCTAACTAAGAAGAAAAATCTAGAAAGTATAATCTTATAATAGAGTTAGCTAGTAGAGAAGATAGATATATATAATTAGTGTATTTACTATATATTACTAATAGTCTAGAGTTAGACTAAGATAAGAATATAGCTTAAGAAGTATATAATAGGTATAATTATATAAGAATTTTAGTAGTTATAGAGCTACTTACTTAGTAGCTTAGCGCTATCT